TTTATTAATGACCAAGACCATAGAAAACCGTGTAGTACTGGATCTATAGCGTGAAAAAATGCGGACAAGGTTTGAGCTACTCCATTAGCAGTACCCAATATATTAATAGGCGCAGAGTTTTGGAGCTACAAACATAAAAGTTTAGCTATAAATTTAAAAGTTCATATTCATTACTTAAAGATATAAAAGAAATTAAAATATGAATTGTTTTGTCGAGTTATAAGAATGAAGTTAATTTAGTTAGTTTATGTAAATTTTTTAGTAATATTAATTCTAAAGGTTCGTATATACTTTTAGAGATCGTTATTCTATCCAATGCGCAAGTGGTTTCTAAGAACATTCAATTTGGTAGATCTTTTTATGCAAATTTGTTTGGAAAATTTGAGTGAAGATATCTTGACAATCAACTGACTAAATTAAATAATATATTTACAAAAAATTTAATTCAACTGGGTGTTTCTACTGATCACCTATATAAATGGTAAATATAAAATTACTTCACGATAAGCATTTTTTTTTTATAATCATTTGTAGAATAATACTTTTTTAAATCAATATCTGTATTTTTTGCAGGCATTGGTATTAAAAAAAAGAACTTTCTCAAATAAAGTTAATCGTGTCAAATAGCTAGTTAGAATAAATAACGCTAACGAGCATTATAACTTTTATAAACTTTATAAATAGCTTTTTAGTGTTTCATTTGTACTTAATGTTTTGTTTCTTTATTATTTTTATCGTGATTATTTGAACATGGATAATGATTAGAATTTTGACTATACTAATAGCCATCTCTTTATAAGATCGTGAATCTGATTTAGTCGTGAAAAATACTCTTTTAGAAAAATTAAATCAAGAAGGTACTGTTTTTATTATACTGTATATTTAGCTGCTTGAAGAAATGTATTGAAATTATACATTAATTGTTTGCTCTATCTAAAGCTGAATTAAGGTTGATGATGAAATTTGCTGAAAATCAAAGATTGGTTGCATATTATAAATATTTGTTTAATAATGGCCAAAAGCTATCAAATGAAGATTTTGAAAAATTGAAATTAATATTTGTTAATTTAGAAAATGAAACACATCAAAAAGTTTATCAAATAGGATTATAAATATAGTTAATAAAACCAATTTGCACATTTCATAATTTAGTTTAATA